CGGAAGGAAGGAAGGAAGGTAGGAAGGAAGGAAGGAAGGAAGGGAGGGAGGGAGGGAGGGAGGGAGGGAGGGAGGGAGGGAGGGAGGGAGGGAGGGAGGGAGGGAGGGAGACGGAAGGAAGGAAAAATCTTGCTTCTCACATTCCTACAAACAAAAATAAAGGATGCTATCTATATAAATGTGTCCACTGGCAGGAGGAGAACTAGCTAAATCACCTAAGTAAATAAAAGAGGATCCATGCTTGCTAAGGTCTCTATAGAGTTATCAAATGGCATCAAGACATTCTATCTTTATGAGAGGACACAGTGTACAGAGACATCCAGTTGTGGGGTGTGTGTGTGTGTGTGTGTGTGTGTGTGTGTAACAGGACCCCCATTGTTTTGCTGGACACTTGGATGCCCATTGAAGACTATATTCCAACTATCTTCAACTCTAGTTGTAGCCAATGTGTTCCAGACAATGAATGTAAAGAGAACTGCAACATGAGACTTCTGACGAAGTGTCCTCAAAGAAAGGGGGCTCCTTTCTTCCCCTTCTCCTTCCTCCAGGTGGAGAGGTTGAAGAGCCATCTTAGATCATGAATAGATTTGGTGGAGGAACAAGCTAAAGAGGGAGCCACAGTCCCTGCTGATCATGAGGTTGCCAAACCAGTCCCAGATTGCTCAAATCCAGATTTGGTTTACATGAGATACACACATTTCTATCATGGTTAAGCCACCACTGTTAACCACTGTTTTCTAACACCTGCAGATGGTTCTGATCCTGACTAATACACAGGACTCTGTTTCCTTTTATCAGAGTATCAAGCAAAACACACCACGCATGACTAAACCACAACTATTTCTGCAAATCAAATGATTTGCCTGGAAACCTCATTTTCATCACTGGCATTTCTGTCACCTCAGTCACCTCAGCTGGTGTCACTGATGGCAAAGCCTGCTGGGCAAGCTTTGCAATGACTTGACAAACAGGAAGTAATCAAGGGCTTTCTCACAGGCCTTGCCCACAAATTGCCTCACTGTCAAGCCAATTTTGCTGCTGAGTGACTCTGGTGGGTTGGGTTAAAGTACAACAGTAGAATTCCTTCCAGACAACTCTCATCTTCTTGGAAACTGCAGCTTCCTATTACCCTTGTCCACCTGTAAGGACAGAATATCCAAAGTGACCCAGTTTCTACTGCCACTTTTACACTGAGATTTGTCTTACCTAATACCTTTCCAGTTGGTACTGCTAACCAAGATAACCTGCAGTTCTGGGGTGGAGGCTGACACAAGGCAGGCTTCTGCTGCTGCATGGTGATGATATTTCTGTGGAAAGTTTTGCTTGTCTGTGAGGAATGCAAACTCTCAGTTTTGACTTCTGTGGAATTTCAAAGCTTCAGGACAGTCCATTGGCTCCAGTTCCTGGCTCCAGGCAAGGCCCCAGTGAAATGGCTGCTGACTTTTTCTTCTTTGCAATAGTATTTGACAATAAATGCTTAGAGAAAGTGATGCATCTTTATGGACCATCTCCCTAGACAAGAAATACACATGTTCATGCAACACAAAATTTGCCCATAATTTCCTGAAATTCTAGCATCCCTGAAGTCCGTCCAAGAGTCCAGAATCCCAGTTAGGAAGTCTTGCTTTTGAAGCCAGAGCAGATTTAATAACCTCTAAAGTCATTTAATTTCCCCTTTGAGAGAGATTTCTCCCTTTGTCCCTCCTAAGCAGAATAGACCAAATCAATTCTAGAGATTGTTCATGGGTTTTACTCTTAGTTATGACCAACAATGAGAGAAATGCAACACACCCTCCCCACTTTCTGTTCCAAAGTTCTTCATCTGAAATTTAAATCCCAACTACCTCTGCTTTCCTGCCTTATCTCATACAAACAGCCCACATGCAGTCGCGTTGGACTGCTTATTTGCAGTTTCCAAAGCATCCCAAGGTGCCTTCTTCTGCCCTCTGTCTTTGCTCAGATAATTTCCTACCTCTAGACACCTCTCATCCATCACCGTCTGTCAAAGTACCACTCCTTCATCAAGACTCTGGGGAAAAAAGAGATTGCTCTATAAAGTTTTCCCTGAACCCTTCCTTTGTGCTTTCAGTCTGAGCCTGAACATCTGTTATAGAACATATACCTTCCATAACGGATTATTTAGTCCTCCATGCAGCAGAATATTTGAATTATTGAGTTCTGGAATAAGAATGATTGGGTGTCAATCCTGGCTCTGCCTCTTTCTCACTATGTGACCTTATATATGTTTCTTAACCTTTCTGTGCTTCAGTTCTCTCATTGATAAAATGGACACAATAAGCTTAAATAAGCTAAGCTATGCAAAATTCTTAGTGTAGTGTCTGGCTCATTGAAAGCATTTTATAAGGAGTAGTTATTTTTACTTTAGTTAATGGATATTTTTGTCCCCACCCCGTAACATTAAGCTATCAAGTAGTTGAGGGTAGAGTCTGGGTCTTAGTCATCACTTTACGCCACACAGAAGCTAGCAAACATACTTTGCACATAGTAAATGACCAGTATATGATATTTGAATGAAAAATGAATCATCCACCAAAATGTCACCTAAGAACTTCAGACAGCATTGTTGTCATCTATATTTTATGAATACATGAAAGGCCATGGAACCGTAAGATAGATGTTCTATTGAGACTACAAAGTATTCTAGGTCTTGAAAAAACATCCTGATCTTAATTCTCTGTCCTAATTCCAGGACTTTTAAAAAATATATATATATTTATTGATTTCAGATAGGGAGAGAGAGACAGAAACATCAATGACCTCCTGCATGCCCCACATTGGGGATTGATCCCGCAACCTGGGCATGCGCCCTGACCGGGAATTGAACTGTGACCTCCTGGTTCACAGGTCGAAGCTCAACCACTGAGCCATGCCAGTTGGGCATTCCAGGACTTTTATTCCACCATAAAGAATATGACAAGAATTCCCATCTTCTCCAATTATAATTCAATTCTTATTCAACTATACAGACATTTATTTAGCAACTATTGGGTGCCAGAAACTGTGGTAAGGGGTAGGGTTCAAAGATATCCTGCTTGGGCTCCTGCAAACCAGCTGTCTTCCTGGCACTGGAATTCAAGCTTAGGACCCAGATTATATATACATTTTTAAACTCCTTGAGTTTGAAGCCCAATGCCAGATGGCAACTGGCCTGCAGGATTTTCCTGTCTTGTGACAAGGGGTGTATACCTATGTCAAATGACCCAACAGTATGTCATACTTCATTACAAAGTAATTATAATCTAACCTAATAAAAGACAAACATGCAAATTGACCATACCTTCGCTATGCCTTAAGCCACGCCCACCAGCCAATCAGAGTGACTGTATGCAAATTAACCCAACCAAGATGGCGGCCGGCAGCCACAAAGCTAAAGCAAGCAGGAGGCTTGCTTGCTCCAGTGATGGAGGAAGCCAAGTTTCCCCCTCTGCCCCGGCCTGGCTGTGAGCTTTACTCAAAGCAACAAAGTTGCAATTATAGAAGGTAAATAAACCCCAGACACCTGCTTTCAGCCGGCCATGGCCATGGAGCTGGAGCAAGCAGGAGCCGGCTCTCAGCTCCACTGAAGGCAACAAAGTTTCAATTATAGAAGGTAAATAAATCCCAGAATTTAAAAAAAGAAAGAAAAAAGGAGAGGCTGGGAGCTTTCGTCGCTTACGGGCTTGGTCAGCCTGAAAACAGCCCTCAGCCCCTCACCCAAGCTGGCCAGGCACCCCAGTGGGGACCCCCACCCTGAAGGGGGTGTGACCAGCTGCAAACACCCATCAGCCCCTCACCCAGGCTGGCCAGGCACCCAAGCGGGACTCCCACCCTGATCCGGGACACCCTTCAGGACAAACCAGCTGGCCCCACCCATGCACCATGCCTCTATCCTATAATAAAAGGGTAATATGCAAACTGACCCTAACAGCAGAATGACTGGGAATGACTGGTCACTATGACACACACTGACCACCAGGGGGCAGACGCTCGATGCAGGAGCTGCTCCCTGGTGGTCAGTTAGCTCCCACAGGGGGAGCTCTGCTCAGCCACAAGCCAGGATGATGGCTGCCAGTACAGCGGTGGTGGTGGTGGGAGCCTCTCCCGCCTCCTCAGCAGCGCTAAGGATGTCTGACTGCAGCTTAGGTCTGCTCCCCGCTGGCAAGTGGACATCCCCCGAAGGCTGCTGGGCTGCCAGAGGGATGTCTGATTGCCAGCTTAGGCCCAATCCCCCGGGGAGCCCGGCCTAAGCCAGCAGGTGGTCATCCCCTGAGGGGTCCCAGACTGCGAGAGGGCACAGGCCAGGCTGAGGGACCCCCCCAAGTGCACAAACTTTTGTGCACTGGGCCTCTAGTAATAATATATAGAAAATTTACTAGACCATTTCTGACCACGCAGCCCACTGAGCCGACCCTAATGTACCCCTTGCCACACAGAAGTGCTAGATACAATGTAACAAAATATTATCCACATAACCAAATTTGATAAGAAAAAAATAGATCCTCAGGTGCCAAGAATGCCATGAAATCCAGCCAGAAGAGTAAATATGAGCTGATACCAGAAGGAAGCCACAGAAGTTTCCGATGGAGTTATGGGTCCTTTAGGCAAGGGAACTAGTTTCCTAACACCTTCAGAAAGCAAACAAAGAAATGTGACTCCAGGCCTTTAGGAGGGACAGAATGGAACTGAAATCCCTGCATAAAGATATCATCTGCCTGGGGTTTTGAGAAAGGAAAAAAAAAGTCACCTATAAAAATCAAAACTCTGAGCCTACACCACACACACAGTTTGGATATCTTAATTTATAATACTTTAATGATGTGGAACCTCTCGCTGGTAATATATATATATCCCTAACATGCAAATAGACTGAACAGCGGAACAACTGAACAACCGAACAACCAGTTGCTATGACGTATGCTGACCACCAGAGGCACATTCGGAACATGGTGGGATGGTGGAGCAGGTGAGCGGGGCACCAGACCAAGGCTGTCATCAGGGCGAGCCTCTGGTGGTTACTGAAAATTCGTTGCTCCCCGGAGCCGTGGTACCACCGGGTGCTTGCACCTGCTGCCGGCACAGGCCCCGCTCGCACCGCTGCTAATCCAGGTTATCTGACTCTAAAGCCAGCCCTCTTTCCATTAAAAAATAAATGAGATAAGCAGAGGAGATAGCCAAAGGTCCTGGAGTGAGAGCCAGGAATTCCAGAAACCAGACAGATGATGTGAAGACTAAGGCAGACCAGAACTAAGATAAGAGGGAGTGTTGGGAATCACATCCATCTGGAAGGTGCATGCCACGTAATTATAGCTCTAAATTATTGGTGGTACACGGGAGTGTGGGCTTGGTATTTTTAGGCTGTTTTAATTTTAAGAGAAGTTGAAACCTGGACTTTGTATGAAATCATTCTGATTTTAAAATACTGTGAAGCTCAAACAGAACTTGTCTGCAGGAGGCATGTGGGCTGTTGATACAAATTTGCAATCCCCAGTCTAGACGAATTCGAGAGCAGCAGGGAAGATGCACTGTCCTCAGTAGAGACCTATGCTTCTAGTGTAGACCTACGCATAGAAAGTATTTGGCTAGGGCCCGTGTAAATCATCTTGGCAACAGTTATCCAACATGAACTTTGATGGGTCCATGAAAGGAAGAAGTTGGGATCAGTTAATTTATAACTAGCTTTATTTCCCCCAGGATCACTATGTGCTGTTAAAGCAAAGAAACAACAAAAACTACAGGATAAACAACTTCCATCGTGATCCTTGAGCATGGCAATGAGCAAGGAACCCAAACGGCCTATACATTACTGACTAGGCCAGTGATGGCAAACCTTTTGAGCTTGGCGTGTCACATATAGAAATTTTTTGATATTTGCAACCATAGTAAAACAAAGACTTATATATATTTTTTAAATATATTTTATTGATATTTTACAGAGAGGAAAGGAGAGGGATAGAGAGTTAGAAACATCAATGAGAAAGAAACATCGATCAGCTGCCTCCTGCACACTCCCTACTGGGGATGTGCCCACAACCAAGGTACATGCCCTTGACCGGAATCGAACCTGGGACCCTTGAGTCCGCAGGCCGACACTCTATCCACTGAGCCAAACCAGTTAGGGCAAGACTTATATTTTTGATATTTATTGTATATATTTAAATGCCATTTAACAAAGAAAAATCAACCAAAAAAATGAGTTTGTGTGTCACCTCTGACACGCGTGTCATAGGTTCGCCATCACTGGACTAGGCTGTTCTCCCAAAGAAAATACAGTCAAAAGATAAGTTGATGATGGCCCTTAACTTAATTCAAATTTCCATTAAAGCATTGTGATCACTTTCAACATGCCAGCAATCATGGGAAAGTTCATCTTTATCTCCTGGTGGGTGCCTTTCCCTAGTGTTTTTTCATCTAAGGAATAGAAAGATGTCACAAACTGTTCTTCCAAGAGAGAAGCTGTCATCAAATAAATGTCTGCTTCCATTTCAGCCCCTCTAACTCTGGCGATGCCTGGAATGGAGAAGTACTTCACAGATTTTCTCAATTTAACCTCCCCCACCTGAACAACAACTAAGTACATGCCTCCGAAATTGTTGGGACATTTTCCCTATGGTGTTCATTAACTCAATTAAATCACAAGCAGCTTAGTCACCAAGGCCTTCGGAAAAGTTATTTTGTGGAGCATATTTCTGATTTGAGGTCCTAGAATTTCTCTTATACTCATCTGTAATTTTTAAAAGACATCAGAAGCCAATAGGAGAACTCAATAACAACCTTTGCATATCCTTGGATCGGGGAAAGAGGAATTATTTGATTGCTGTCCTGGACAGCTAGCATGTTTACATGTATTAGTGAGGCTAGGCTAATTCCTGGAACAAATAACCCAGTATTTTGATGTACTAACAGAATGAAAATTTATTTCTTACTTCTGTCACAGGGTGGGGTGAGGGAACGATGAGTTCTGCTCCAGTGAATTAATCAGGGACTCAGGATCCTTCCATCTTGTGGTTTCATCATCCTCTTACTCCAGGGGTTGGCAAACTTTTCCTGTAAAGGGCCATAGTAAATATTTTAGGTTTTGTGGGCCATATGGTCTCTGTCACAACTATTCAATTCTGCCACTGTAACACAAAGCAACCACAGACAATGTATAAATGAATGAGCATGCTGTGTTCCAATAAAACTTTATTTACAAAAACAGGCAGTGGGCTTCAGTTTGCCAAACCCTGTTCTAAAGACCTTGTTCCTCTCTGCATTCAGACAGTGGGTAGAGAAAGAGTGAGTACTATGGAAGAGGCACATGTAAAATTAATGCCTATTCCCATACAACTGTCATGAAGATTATACTAAACAATGTTTGTAAAGTGCTTAGTGCAAAGGTCAGTATATAGAAGTTGCTTGATAAATGGCACTGTCATCTTTATTTTTTTATGCAGAAACAAAGTACCTTTGGTATTTACAGGAGGAAGTGGTCATACTGAGGGAGATCAGGAAAGGTTACAGTTGTTTTTCTGAAGGAGAACAAGATTTTAACAACCAGAAGTAGGGGAACAGCTTGAGCAAATGTGTCGCAGCTGGAAGCATTGTAGGTTTAGTAAGCGTGCGCAGTTCAGTTTGGCTGTTAACAACATGGGGTTATGTGAAGGAATTGTGGGACGTAAATTTGGAAAGCTAAGAATGCTATCAACGCCAGGTTTAAAGTTCAGTGGCAACAGAGCCACTGAAAATTGTTGAGAATACATACTAGTATACATGCAAGTCCTGTGTTCCAAAAATCCTGTTTGTAAATTTGTTGTGTGAAACAGACTATGTTTTCTAACATAGTATATGAAATGGGCGTTAGAGTCCCAGATTAGTCAACAGAAGCTTGTTTATCAGGTGTTTATAACTTGTAACTATCTGCGAAGGAGAACTGTTTTACCCAACCAGCATGCCCAGAAAATTATTCTGCTATAGAGCCATATAAATGTTGCTCTAATTATCATTGTCTTAATCTAAAATAAGCTTTCCTAAAGAAGTTGCTCAGTTAATCTATACAGAGATTTACAGCCAACTATTGAAATTCCTGGAAGAGTATGCATAATAAATATAAACACAATTTTTTGCCAGCTCATTTGGATACTGAGAAATGATTTGCATAAAGGTAGAACCATGAAGTCAAAAGTGTGTTTAGCTGGGCCTTCATTTCTAGATCCCTAAAAAGAAGTACTTACCCATAATTGATGCAAACCTGTTGGCTTATTTGTCAGAATCCATCTGTGTTGAAAGCATTCGCTTTAACTGCCTTCTGTGCAGGAATCCCTTCTTCCACCTGCTGCTGGAGAAACCTGTTCTGATATTCAAGTAAGGTCTACCTAAATTGCAGTTGAGTGGAAGCCTCAAAATTAGAGAACCCAAGAACAGTGCCTCATTCTAACAGTTAATGTTAATAGTCATTTATTTATTCCACAAATATTTATGAGTATCTGCTATGTGCCAAATACTGCACTGGCAACAGAGGAAGTAGAGACAGTCCACCTGAAACGGTGTTTACACTATCATATTATAATTTATTCCGAAGAGATAATATCTGAGCTGAGATGCTAAAACAAACAGAAGTTTTACAGAGAATGGGAGGCCAACATCTCAGGTAAGGAGACCAGGAAATATCCAAAGCATTTGAGCACAGAACATTGTTGCATATTCAACAAGTATTTTGCTAAGTGGATGGGTGGATGTGAAGAAACCTTCCTTGGAAGCCCAATATTGTCCTCTACCCGAGGTAAGTCAGTCAGTCCTTCTTCCTTACAGATCTCCAGTGTGGTTTGTAGTTTTATCCCAATTCTACCTCTGGATCTCCAGAAGACACGCTGACTTTTTCTGATTTCGTTTAAAAATTTTAAATCTTGACAATGAAGGGTTTTCATTCTAATGCACAGCTTAAGGAAATGAGATGTTGAATATAACCCCATCCCCACATACCCACTGTGAGCTCAGTGCTGACCTGTGTGCTGGGGAGAGATGCTACCAGATGTGATTGGGCCACCGAGAAATACTAATCTCCCTGGAGAATCAAGATTTGTATTCGAGAAGTAAATCAGAACCAAGCCAGCAAGAACCTAATTGTCTGATTTGGATTAAAAGTTATACAAGAATTTGGATTGCTCACAGTCATTAATGCAGCTGAAGCTCGGAGTTCTGTCTCTCATAGACAATTCTCTGAAACACTTTGTAGAGATAAACTTTGCTAGTTGACGGGGTTTGAATGTGGCCAACCTAAAGAATTTCTGCAGTTTCCTCCTTTCCACAAGGGTTTGCCTGGCCTGGGAGACACTTTCTTTGCTTACTTCTTTCCTTCTTCTCCTTATCCCACCCCCTCGCTTCCCCTCTCCCCATTGTCTGTTTCACATCCAGAATTACAACTAATTGTACAAATTGAAGGAGATTATGAAACTCAAGGGAAGGAGACAGATGCACGGAATGCTGGGTAAAATCACAGAGTGATAAATCAAAAAGCAGAGTTTCGAGGAGCTGAGCAAATTCTCATTTCTTCACTTTAGTGTGGGAACTATGCCTCAGCTTGCTAGACAAATGTCCCTTTGCCTTCTCTGGGTCTCCTGACCCTTGTCACAGGACCCTCAAAAGGCATCCTCTTAAAAAGGTTCTTTGGTATTAAGTTTATATGATCCGGTATTTAAAGACAGATTTTCCATGCCACTGAAAAGGATCTTATATTTAAATCTCTTCAAAGAGACTGAGACAATAACCTGTAACAAAAATCTCCTCCCAGATTTTCTGTGGACTGTAGTTACCTCAAGAATATCGGTGAAAATGTGAATACTTTAAAAAAGCTCATCAGTGACTCACACGTTGGGGCTGATTTTTTTTTTTTTACTACAGATGCTCCTTGACTTATAATGGGGTTCCATCCTGATAAATCCATCCTAAGTTGAAAACATAGAAATTGAAATGCATTTAATACACCTAACCTACTGAACATCATAGTTTCACCTAGGCCACCTAAACATGCTCAGAACACTGAGATTAGCCTGCAGTTGGGCAAAATCACCTAACACAAAGCCCCTTTTATAATAAAGTATTGAATATCTCATGTAATTTATTAAACACTAGAGGCCCAGTGCACAAAATTCATGCACTTGGGGGGGGTTCCCCTCAGCCCGGCCTGCACCCTCTTGCAGTCCACGAGCTCTCAGGGAATGTCTTGCAGTCCAGGAGCTCTCAGGGAGCGGGCCTAAGCCAGCAGTCGGACATCCTTAGCACTGCCGCAGAGGTGGGAGAGGCTCCCATTACTGCCACTACGCTCACCGGCTATGAGCCTGGCTTCTGGCTGAGCAGCGCTCCCCCTGTGGGAGCGCACTGACCACCAGGGGGCAGCTCCTGCATTGAGTGTCTGCTCCCTGGTGGTCAGTGCGCGTCATAGCAACCGGTCATTCTGCCGCTTGGTGGTTTTTCATATTAGCCTTTTATTATATAGGATATCACTTTCAAACCATTGTAAAGTCAAAAAATTGTAAATCAAACCATTGTAAATCAGGGACCATCTATATAGAAAAAGCCTTAGATATCTGGTATATCCTCAGACCCAACAATGCTTCTGCCACGAATTTAGGTATAAACATAGATGAAACTATGAAGAGGATCATCAGAGCTTTGTTCATAGTATAAAAAAATTGGAAAAAACTGTAGAGAAATGTTTAATCTATATGATGGGATACTATGCACAGAAAGTGGTATTATAGAAAAATATTAAAGACAAGGGAGATATTTGTAACATATTAAGTTTAAAAGTTGGTTTTAAATTAATGTAAACTATATTCTCATGCTAATAGGAAATACAATAAAAATTGTAACCTCATAAAGTTCACATTCTTCCTCCCTCCACCTCCAAAGCGAACTCAGTCTTTGTCTGCCCCAGTTCCCAATGTCACTGCTGCCATGGCCCTCAAGCTACCTATACGATTACCATCCATGATATCTTGCTTTAAGAAAGTTCTGTTTTTCTCAAATTCTTTGAGTTTTGTCATATGTAATTAGAATAATGGAGAAAGATGGAACTAAAGAGAAAAAGACTTCCATCTAAAGGATAACTACATGTATATAATAAAGTGCTGAACTATAGAGAAAAGGATCTTGAGGTGGGGGAGAGAAAGAGTTTTTTAGGGGGTGTGAGAACAGCACCAAGGTGGGAGGAAATGGGATAGAAGAGGAAAGAGTTGTAAAAACTTACTATAGAAATATAGTGGCAAATAAAGAATTTGAGTTCTTTAAATACTAATTTTTCTTGCTGGCCCCAAAACTGTATGAGGGGCTTGGATTTATTAGGGTATATGTATATGCACATCCACAAAGAAGACTACAAGTTTCTCCAGCAAGACATTAATATGATTTAGATGGGATTGTTTTATTCTTTTTACATATCTATATTTTCTAAATATTTTAGTTGTGTGTCTGTATAAATAATTGCTTTCATTTACTCCTCAAGTACCTCCATGAAGTAGGCATCATGGTGAGACCTGTTTTATAGGTAAGGAAACTGAGGCATGCAAAGAGAGGTTTGGCAACTTGCCTCAAGTTACTCAGCCAGTAGTTGAAGAGATAGGATATGATCCCAAGCAATCTGACTCTGGACCAGTTCACCCCATAATCAACAACAGGGAGTTCTGATGACAAGGAGACCAATGCTCATGTCTCTAAGGAGGTGAAATGAGCCAAATAGATTGTGAGATAGTGAGGCAGTGTGAAGTTTTTTACCCCAATCCCAGTCCTACTTCAGAAACAACAGACTATCTTGAATTTGGTGTTTATCACTTTCTTGCATGTTTTGTTCAATCCTCTAACATATGTAGATTTTCATTAGACATAGCACTGTCTGGCCTACTTTGAAGAATTATATACAGGGGTCTAATGTGGGGGAAAAAATGTACTCAATGGTCAATGTTGGTCCCGCTCAAGCTCAATCTATTGTCTCTTCAACATGCTTTCATCTTTTTTATCCCTTTGTCTCTTTGCATTTTGAGTGTGAATTCTTTAGTACTATCTTCCAATTC